TTGCAATCCTCCTGATACATCCTTCTGAGCAGAGGAGATTATATGCTTGTGTCCCAGGTCTGGTTCAATTATTCCTGAAGGAGCTTACTCCTACACATAAAGCCAAGAAGGTGAAGGTTAAGGACAAAATAAAAAGGATGAAAAGTAGAGTTGCTATTTTTGAAATGATAAGGGCCATTTTAAAAGTGAACCCTAGCTTTCCAGTAAGGTTCCTTTAAAGCACATATCTCTGTGGAGGATTTGCCTCTCTTTGAGAAAGCAATGTATTGAGAGAGAAAAGTCCCTGTCACAATACCTCAGGCATTTTCCCTCATAGGCTCATTCTGATATATGCTTAATTTATAAGTCCCATAATTAAATGTTCTAGTCAGTTCAAGAATTATTAAAATATGTCAAATCACATCCCCTCCAGATCCAAGTAACATAAAGAATATCGCTCCACTTTATTATCAGCCCATGAAGTTAAAAGAGTAATATCAGGCTTGACCACTTGGTTTAAAACTCAACTCTACTTTCTATTTGCATGGTTGACTTTAGGCAAATTATTTAATGGTTTTGTGCTTCACTTTCCTACTTGTCAAATGGAAAAGGTAAGAATGACTACTGCTTGTGGTATAATGAAAAGTAAGAGAACAGAGTAGACAGGAATCTCAGCATGGTGCTCAGACCATAGCTGCTGGCACGAGGCTACTGATGGCAATCCTAGAGTGATGGGGAGGTAACAGTGATCTCGCATTAGTTTGAGACCTTTGTCCTTAGTCTTTTTTTCGGTTTTGAAGAAGGAAACAGACTTACATAACAGAGGGCGATTAAAACATCCACGTATTGAAGGCCTACCTCTGTTTTCTGTTCTGGATGGTTTCATAGGTCTCTGCATTTCGTAGGCTGACATTGTTACAGATTTACATACAGAGTTTCCACTGAGAAGAAATGCTCAGAGCATAGTAGTACGGTCTGTTAATCAAAATAATCACTTACTCTCAACTTCTTACTCTGCCACTAATTTTGTCTAGGGACTGTGACATGTCAGGTCTCCTCAATCAAAGCATCTCCTGACAACCCGCAAGTCTGTAACCTCTCTGACTGACAGAATGAGAATCAAGAATTTCATTGAATACTGTCATATTTTTTTTTTTTTGCAATGAACAAAGAGTGCTTCCTTTTAACCCCTTCTGGCAATACCACTGTCAGCACTTTTTGATATGGAGTGTTGCTCTCAGTCACATTGCATTGCAACTATGTTTGGAGGGAAAGTCTGCGTGTGAAAGATTATGCTGCCTTACATAGTTGAACTAATCTCTTTTAATGCTTTACTTGATATCAATATTCATAAAGCCATGCTTCCCCGAAGGGTTTATCAATCTTTTTAAAAATTAGATAAATGGAGTTGTTTGCATATTGACCCTGTAAGCATTCCCACTTGGTTTTCCTGCTGCTTCATGAATATCAAAGCCAACACACACACACACACACACACACACACACACACACACACACACACAGGAAAACAAAATTAGACTCACTTATTCATATGTATCAAATGAATTCGTGTGTCAAAACAGAAGTGGCATTATTATTCCTTGTTTATTCTTCAACAGGAAGGCATTATTAGATTAGTGAAAATATTTGTGTTGTGTGTTATGAAAAGCATTTGTTTTCCATTTCTACGTCTCTGAATGCATAGAAATTTTAGTACAAACCTCTGTTGTCTCTGACTGTGAAATTTGGGTTGTGAATGATTTCAGGGGGTAGGCTGAAGATAAATCTTGGTCCATTGGCTGTGTCGTCCTGGTCATCTGCACTAACTGTAACTATTGGCTGAAAGAGAAAGGCAGCTCATAAATAATTCATGAGGACATCGGCATAGCATTTATCCAGAATTTTCTAACATGCTAAAACCTCTGATTTTAACATCGCATCAAAGAAGGATTCATGCACCAAAAAATTTTGGATGAGTACAAATTTTTGATGATCACAAAAACAAACTCTCTTTCAAATACATTGCTTCTGGCCAGGAGAGGGGGAGTCAGCCTTACTTGGTTGGAGAGTGGCTTGGTTTGATCACTCTCACAGATAAAGCCTTCATAATGGTCAGCAAATTTAGGAGCATTGTCATTGACATCTAGGATCCTGATGGCCACTGGGACTTTGGCTTCCTGATGTCTGTTGTCTGGAAAAAGAGAATTCAGACAGTAAAAAATAAACAAGTAAGAATATATAATGGCCCATGCTAATTCTCAGAGTGAGCAAAAGCTCCTTCCATCAAGTTCTAAGAAACATGTAACTACGATTTATCTAGGAAATGCTTAGACACATTCATATCTTTAGGAACTAATTTACAATTCATGTGTTTTGGAGAGTGATTCAATTTAGAAGGTTGTAATGTAATTAAGTATTCATTGATAATTTTGTAATATTGTGGTAATTTGGAGAAAATAATAAAAAGTAACGAGTATGGTCAAGCTAGAGAAATGATGACCTTGGGGCATGCTTCATGTCTACCAAGACATGAGCATCTTTGCTCCATAGAATATTGCTCACTACAGTGCTCTGTATCCTTATAGGTCCTTAGGGACGCAGCCAGGGAACCCTGGGATAAAACTCTGAATCTTGGGGCACAACTAAATTGCTCTTCCCTTTAAATTATTCTCCTGAGTACTTCTTTCAGAGCTGGGAGATTAAAAATAAAAAACTAACACCATGCATTTTTGGCACAAAAGTTATCTCAGATAAGAAGTGTGTGAAATTCTATGGAAGGATTTCTAGACTAAATGTCATGCCTAAACCAGGAAATACTAAACCATTTTCCTACTTTAGCTGAGAATAATTCTAAAGGTTGCTAATAGAACCTGGTCCTGCTAGAAAGTAGTTTATTATCATGATTCTCAAAGTGGGATCCCAAGTATTGCTTCAGACCCACCTGGTCATTTGCTGTTCATAAAAATGATAGGACTCTAGTACAGATCTACTGAATCAGAGACTCCCAAGATGGGTCCAAGAATCATTGTTATAAAACACCAGCTATAAGATGTGTTGAGATAGCTTGACATATGGTCATATTCAAGAATTACTGGTCAATATCTATGCACAGTACCTCAAGTTTTGACTGGCGGTTGTTTGAGGTTTAACATGTTGATTGCAAGTCTTAAACTGCTAGAAGATATAAGGAATCTGTGATGGCCATTCTTAGTTGTCAGATTGGCTACGCCTGGAGTTAACTAAAACCCAAATGACTCGGCACACTTGTGTGAGAATTTTTTCTTAATTGAATCTTTTGAAGTGGGAAGACACTTAAGGTGAAATAAAAATTTTTAATCCAGATCTTCTGAGTGGAAAGATCCATCTTTAATCTAGACACAGATTGCCTGGTGGCCTAAATAAAGGGCATGAAAGAAGAACGTGTGCTTTCTCATTGCCTGCCTGCTACAACTTTCACTAGTAAATTCACTCCCTCACTGGCATTAGAGTCTACATCTTCAGAATTTCAGCATACACTGTAGACCAAATGAGACATCCAGCTTTGTGGACCTCACAACTACCGGTTTCTTGAGCCTTCCACTCATAGACTGCTATTGCTGGACTAGCAGGATCACAGCCTCTAAGTCATTCTAATGAATCCCTTTTCTATATGTATAGAGAGATTAATTCTGTAAATTTTGTTACTCTAGAGAACCCTGACTAATAAACCATCTTAATGAGTGTACCCACAAATCTTCCAAAGAAAAGAAAACATTTCTAATTGACTAAAACCTTTCTACATTTAGAACTAAAAATAAAAATTTAAAGACCGAATCATAGTGGTAGTAGTAGTAGTAATAAAAAAAAACAACAACAACCTCGGTGAGCTAGGATAAAACCAAATACTACTGTCCTAAAAAAGGAAGGAAGGAAGGAAGGAGAGAGAGAGAGAGAAAGAGAGAGAGAGAGAGAGAGAGAGAGAAAATATAACAGCACAATGACTCCTAATGACATTCTGCCATGTCCTAGATTAGTGCCTTGCTCAACCGTCATGAGAGAAATTTTGCCCTGCAGCAGATGGGACAGAGACCCACAGTCAGGCATTGTGTCGAGAGTGGGAGACCTTGGGATATTGATCCCTAAAAGGTATGTCTGCATCAAATTCATCGCTTCAAGGCTCAGGGAACACTACCGAAGAAGAGGCAGAAGCAGGTGTAAGAAGCAGAGGGGTTGGAAGGCACCAAGACAATGAGGCCCTCTAAATCAACCTGAAAGTTCACAGGAACTCAAAGAGACTAACACAGCATCCACAAGACTGCTGAGGTCTGCATTCAGCCTGTACGACAGGGGTCTGAATTTATTATAATTTCCAGTTTGGTGATTTTAGGGCATTCCTGAGTGTGTGAACTAGTGGATATCTGGATCGTGTGCCTTTTCTGGGACTCTTTCTCTTCTGTTGGTTTGTTTGGTCCAATTCAGGTGTCCTAGTATTTGTTTTATCTTAATATATTTTATTTTAATATTGTCCCTTAGAAGCCCATTTTTTTTTCTAATGAGTGGGTGTAGATCCCAGTGGGAGGGGAGGTGAAGAAGGACTGAGAGCAGGAAAAGGAGGGAAAAGGTACTCAAAATATATTTTGTGAGATAAAATATATTTTTAATTAATAGAATAAGAAGTCTGAAACAAAACAAACAAACAAGCAAAAAAAATCTCAGCAATTTTATTTTATAGACTAGAGTCAGAAGAATTACTATTTAGTAATGTCAAATCAAAGTCCTCAGGAAAATACTTACGAATTTCTGCTGCAAAGACAGAGATGTTGAGCCAGGCAGTTTCCTCTCTATCTAGAGGTTTTGTGGTTTTAATAAAACCATCCTCTGGATTAATCGTGAAAAACCTGTCGAGGTCAGTATGACGATCAATTGAATACCTAAGCAGAATGCAAATGAGGCAATTAGACCAACACATTCAGAGCAGTTTAATATTTGCATATTTTCTCCATTTTATATTTAAAGCAACTTTTTTTCAAGTGATTTCATGACTTATGTTTTCTTTTTAATCAAATTTATTTTTCAAACTTTACACATGAATATTTTATAGAAATCACTTTGGTACATTGGCCTTCCTTATTCGGTACAATGAATGAAAATGCTGTTTAGCATATTTGATTGAGAAGTATAATAATGTGTTGCATATTTCTCCATATTTACTATAATCACCCACCATCTGAATATTTATGAAACTGCATTTGGGGAGTGAGATTGCATCACTCCTAAATACTCAGAAAGTCACAAATGTATCAAACCTTTACCAAATTTTGGCATATGAAATATTTAATAGTTTCAAGTTTGTCTAAATTCATCATTAGAGATCATTTATAGCGCTACACATCAGCATGTTCCTCATTTAAAGAGTTTGTTATATTTTGCATGGTTTTTGTTTTGTTTTATTTTGTTTAAATAACTCTATAGACCAAGAGGTAATTTGGTTCTGAATTCCAAGGTGCAAACACAAACAAGGCTCAGGCAGTTACTTATAAGTCATCCTCTTCATACCTTCCTGGTTGTGCTGAGCTTCACAGCAAAGTACAAAGGTTTTATCAACTCCTACTCACTCAGAATTTGTCTCTTTCAGACAAAGACAAAAGGAGTCTCAGAATATTATAAAGAAGTCTTTATTCAGGTATGATCAGGTATGGGATGTATAGAATATGAGTGTTTTAAGTCATCAGTGATGGTTACAAATACAAGAATATCAAAGTTAGCAAAGATTCAGGATACCAAAGAAACTACTATACTAAAATTCTACTGGAAGGGATTTGCAAATGGTATATGTCTCATCTCTGAGGAACCAATGTTGCCGGTCAGATCTTCCAATCTCAGACAGTCACTCATGGACCAGCACTTTATAATATTCAAAACATGAAGTCATGCCTGATAAACTTTGATTCTGTGGCTCCTTATGAAAAATGAATAGTTTTCCTTTTTCTTGGAGGTGGACTTCAACTTGGTCTTGCATTTCATCAAAGCCAGTTAAAGCTCTACAACTGAGTTCTCAGCAGATAATTTTCTGTGCAATAACAGAAGAATTGTTTCCTGGCATAAGGCAGCTTCCTATTTAAGTAACCTGATGGCACATATACAATAAAGCAGAAGGCCAGGCAAGACATAATTCTAAAGACATAAAAATGGCTCACAGATCTGGATTTTGCAAAATCTTAGATCCAGTCGTGCCCCACCGCACATAATCTAAATAAAAATATTTCAAAAAAGCCTCTTAAAATTATGATGTGTGAAGTCCTTCTATGTATGTGTTGCTTTTATTGGCTAATGAATAAAGCTGTTTCAGGCCAATGGCTTAGCAGAGCAAAGCCAAGTGGGAAATCCAAACAGAGATATAGAGAGAAAGTAGGCAGAGTCAGTAAGAGGCCATGTAGCTGCCTAAAGAGACAGATGTTGGATCCTTACCAGGAAGCCACAGCCTTGGGCCAATACATAGATTAATAGAGATGTGGTAATTAAAGATTTAAGCGCTAGCCAGGAATGCATCTGAATTTTTGGCCAGTGTTGCAGATAATACAGTTTCTATGTGACTATATGGGTCTGAGCAGTCAGGAAACAAATGAGCAGTTACCGTTTACAAAATTACTTAACTTTAGTTATCTTTACACTAGAATAGCAATTGTCCCTAATTTGATATTATATTTGAGAATTAAATGAAGCATCCTCATATGCCATCCACATTAAACAATGCAACCCAAAGGAGCTGCTATTTCAGTTTTTGCTCCTGCTGCTGTTGTATTGTGGAGAAAATATGAAAGTGTTTTTGAATGTCAGAGGGAAACCTTCATCATGAAGCCAATGAGAAACCATGGAAGACCTTTAAGGAAAGAAGCAAATAAATGAAATCGGAACAACTGAGTGATCTTTCAGGTAGTATGGGGGGGAAAAGAGACAGAGAGAGAGAGAGAGAGAGAGAGAGAGAGAGAGAGA